CGTAACTCGGTTGGGAGAAAGCCTACAGAGCAGAAAACAAAAACAATTTGGTGTAGGGGAGCAATGTCTAAGGTGTTCCCAGCATACATGACGTGGGCGGAGGCCGCCCACAATGGGCGGAGCGCGCTCTGAAGTGTACAGCATTTTCTACAAGTCCTCATAATTCGGGCCGGAGAAGTCTTAGTGAGCCGGAAAAAGGTGGATAGAGGTGGGTGGAGGAGTGGAGGCCAGCTGTCATCGGGTGGGCGGGGCATGACCAAAGTGGGCGGAGTTTGCGACGGAATTCATAACTCGGTTCCAAGAAGTCCCGGAGACCGGGAAAAAGGTGGATAGAGGTGGGTGAAGGAGTGGAGCCCAACTGCTGTTGGTGGGCGGAGCATTTCCAAGGTGGCGGAGTTCTCCACAAAACTTTGTGACTCAGCTGCAGGAAGTGCTGGAGACCGGAAGAGAAGTGAGCAAAAAGGAAGTGGATTTCTAATAGTGTGCGGAGGATACACCAAAAGAGCAGGATTCGCCGCCAAAATCTCCCTCGGTCGCCGGAACTTTTAGGAGCCGGGTTATAAGAGTGGTAGCAAACTCCGCCCACCCCATGTATGAAACGCCCAACGCTACATTTTACCTCCCCCTTTCTGATCTCTACACGCTTTTTTTCCGGTCTCTGAACCATCTCGAAGCCATTATGAGATCTTGTAGGAGAGGCAATAAGTAATGAATTTTCTTGGCAAGCCCGGCCCACCAATACGGTTTAACCCCGTTCCCTCCGTCAACCCTTATCCTTTTCCCCGGTCGCCGGAACTTCTAGGAACTGAGTAATAAGAGTAGTAGCAAACGCCGCACACTTTGGGGTGTGCCTTGCCGAGCATTTGAGGTTTTGTAGGGAGCGCGATCGAGCTGTGTATCTTCGTGCATGGAGCACAACTGTTGGTTGAAGTTGATTTGCACATCTTTGTTCGCCACGAACGAGTGAACGCCCTAGCAGTTTCAAACGTGGCCGAGAGAAATTGCGGGGTGAACTTTTCTGCTTGAGCAGCAGGCTTTGCGACTGCGAAGGGATTGATGCTAACAATGAGACGGTGAAGCTTTATTCAACGAAAGGATCAATTTTAACGCCACACATTTAGCAGTCACATTGATCGACAAGGTTCCGAAACTACATGTATTTGTAATTCATATTATCCCTGAAATGCGGAAGGGTACACATCTTTCGAGTTGGCCGTAATACATGCACTTACCGGAACGTATTGAATTTACATTTTAGAACTACATAGGGTGAGTCGTTTGCCCCAGTTTGCAGCTCAACTGCACATCCAACTTGTGTAGCTCTGGGATACCACAGCTGAAATTATAGAAAATGTTAAGAATTTTCAAAACGTTTTCACGGAGCTTTCAGCGCTGGTAGCGTTTCGAAGGAATCTGAGCCGAACTATCACCAACATCCTTGTATGGTACATTTGCAACGGCAGTCTTCAACGTTTCATCCCAAGTCGTGAATGGGCTGTAAAAAATCAAAGTGACAACATTCATGAAGTAGGTTTGGTCATTCGGAATATTCTCGCTTTTTCCTCATTTACGCTCTTTTACAAGGGAAACAACATAAAATCACCTTGTTATTGTGAATCCGTCATGGGGCAGTCCTAGTATACTGCTAATTCCCGTGAAGGCTTCTGTTGCAAGCGCACAACTATACGTCTGTAAGCAATGGCAATTATTAACGTGGATTTGACTGAATGTAAAAACCTTAGACGTATGTATATTCAGCGAGTAACCGCACAGAAGGCTTGTTTAGTGACGCCTTGAATCCGTATACACTAGAAACAAGCGTTCTGCGCTTTCGGCAGCGTTGTAATTCCTCTAGGTCTCAATAGTGTCAGCCTTCCCACTGCCACTTGTATATGTTGCAATAACTTTCCGCCACGTGTTTCAGGCGACTAGAATCATACAAAGGATATTACATGATTCTTAACACAATGTGTCGCGGTAAGAACGCACCACCAGCAATGAATTGTACAGCGCGCGAGAGTATGATGGGCATGACTAGAAGCAAGAGAAAGTTATTGGCGTTGAAACAGGTGCAAAATTTGCTGATATCGTAGAACTGGCCACGGAAGCTTCGTCTGGAAGCAGGTCGAGTCGGTCGAGCGTGCAGTCTTTTTCACAACATGGTC